TCCCCCCCCCCCCCCCCCAAAAAAAAAAAAAAAAAAAAAAAAGGAGGGGGGGTTCTAAAATTCACTTTTAGTTGATTCATTTCAAGGTTGTAAGGTTAATCTTTCAGTGTTAGTCGCGTTTACTATTACTCTGTAGGTTTTAAATGTTTAGGTTAGTCGCTTTTACTGTTATCATTAGTCACTTTTACTCTTACCCGTGCCTTGTACTATAACTACTTTGAGGAACGAAGGTAAAAATAGATGACGTGATTGAAATTTGAAAAACATTTCCCACTAAAACGTAGTTTTAGGCTCTTTGCCGTGTGATTGGTTCTGATTTTTTCTTATGTTATTTACATTTACTTATTTCTTTGTAGCAGAACAAGGTACAGCCTAACTACTTTGAGGAACCAAGGTAAAAATAGAGGACGTGATTGAAAAACATTTCCTGCTAAAACGTAGTTTTAGGCTCTTTGACGTGTGATTGGTTCTGATTTTTTCTTACGTTATTTACATTTACTTATTTCTTTGTAGCAGAACAAGGTACAGCCTTTATTTTGATCATGAATTGATACATGTTATGGCATATACAATTCAGAAGATTATCTTCCTTTTTTGATGAATCATTTTGATTATATGGTAACTAACTGTTTTATTTTTATCTTTTATTATAGGTTATCACTAGCAATCTGGTTTTCACTGTTCTTCTTGTTCGTTTACCCTTTTGCTTAGGGCGAATTGCTACTCTCCTTCAAGCTTTGCTTTTCTCTTCTGCTACAGCACAAATATTGTCACCTGTAGGGCTAAGGATAGAGGCAGCTCTTTTGTCAGTAAATACTAAGTCAAAGTACGCATTAAAGGCAATCACATATTTTGTTTTATACTGCTACGGAGTTAACATGCCGAGCCAGGTCTTTGAAGGGGACTCAGAAATTATCTATACGGAGGTAACTAGGATGAAGGAGGTCTCCAATACCGTCAATGGACTAGTTTCTGTTGGACTTTATAACGAACAACCAAGTGAAACACTTGTCCTATCTGATGATACCGCTATTCTCATTGGCTACGTAGTTATACTAGCATTTGTTTTGCTTTACTTTGGGACTGTGTCTATGATTCATTATGCAGGGGGTGAGCCTTCGACCGTGTTGTGGTTATCTAGAATTGGTGCATTCTTGTCCCTTCTTGTTAGAAGATTCTTTACACTATGTAGGCAGGTTATAAGTATTGTTGGCAGGAATTTTCTGACTATTTTGAAAGTTGGAGTGGTCCTGGGAGTGAAAGCTGGCATGTTTCCTTTGGTATGTGGTTGGTGGTTAGATGTTTGTACTTTGAAGATGTTTGGACAGACGATTGCAGAAAGGATTGAGTTATCTGTAAAATATCCTCTTTTGATGTCCTTGGCCTACTGGATAGTTGGAATTTGCTACCATATGTGTGTTTATATCCATTTGAACCTTATTCAAGAGGTATGATTTTTATTTTTTACTATATATTCGCTTTGTCTTGCTAACTTGGTTGATGTAGTTGCTGACATTATATGCTCATTGTAGGTGTTGCGAGATGGAGTTTTCCACTTTCTTCCAAACATCATTGATACAGAGAACTTCTTCAGCGCATTGATTGAATGCCATGTGTTCAAGCATGCTCGTGACATTTTGTTACTTGTTGGTGTTCATGGTAGTTTGATCGTGATGCTGGTGTTTTTACCTATCAAATTAGTCCTTTTCTATCTGCCATCCGCATTCCCACTCAATCTTTTGTAAGTGACTCATTTTCTATTTGTAACAATATGTACAACATGCATATATATATATATATATTTTAATGCCTCTTGCTTTATGTAACGTATGGAT